GAGATCCAATAATGTTTAATATCTCATTTTTTTAACTAGTCCAACTAGAGGATCATAACACATGAATGCCTAGAATAAACCTAGAGATGGTGAAGCTTGTTGTAGATAAATACTTACAGCTTCCAGAAATAAATTGCTCATTATATATATGCAGATATGCTATCAAATAGCAGTCCATATTCACTTGATTTTTTTTTACATTTATTTGAATTACAATAAGACGTGCACACTTGAGCTTTCTCTTAATATTATCTTCAGCCACCATGATGTAGCTGAGTGTAATATATGAGATGAACATGAATAATTGTGCCATGGAAGTTATTTCTACTAATAATTAAAAAGAAACAAGAAGATATCAAACATGATTTTTTGGAATACATACTTATCTCTACTTGACAAGAAAGCAAACTAAAGAAACTTGTAATCACCACTGTATACTTAAAAGAGTTTCTTTCATCTGCAACTGCAATACCGAATTCAAAATGCAAACTAGAATTTGTACCAAGTATGACTAGTTCAGCTCCAGGGTCCAACTCATCTTGTCCTCTATAAGACCCATCTGTAGTTGGGTAAGCACGGAATATAGTTCTTGTGAGACAACACCAAAACCACCGCCATCTCCATACGCCACCCTGCACCAACATAACATAACATTTTACGTGATGTGTTTGTTATAAATTCACTATTATCAACCCTGCTAAGGACACCCCCAATTGAGCACTTGCAGGAGGTAATTCAAGGGTGTGCTTTAATTATTTGCACTCTTCCCCTAGGAACTCAAATTTTTATTAAGAAGGGCCACCTCACCAGCTGCTGTTATTAGCAAACCTCATATATAAACAGAATTCTTATTAATACATTTCATTTCGTGAATCAATTCCCCCGTTTAATATATATAGTAAGACCAGTACTTAAATAAATTAAAACATGAAGAGATGGTTTTTTATACATTCACTAGATAGCCAAGAGCTTTTTACCTTTTACCACGATAAGTGATGCTACCCACAGGTGATACAACCACAGCTGTTCCTGTGCAAAATACTTCATCAGCATCAAGCAATTCATCAACTGTCACAAGGCGCTCTTCAACCTGCAAGTTCAGATGACCACTGAAAAATCGAACCAATTCAAGGACCAATATTAAGAAGACCTATAAAGTGTGTAAAATGTAAGAATTTAAGAGGTCATTTTGTAACTTCTTATATTTGTAAGCTCAGATTACAAGTTGGGGGACTATGTCACTACAACAAAGGGTCATGGCACACATATTGATTACGCAGGAAAATTATTCAATACTTAAAACATCCTAAACTGTGAGTTTGGAAGCTTTGGGCTCTTTGTAACCTCAAACCAAGCTTTGGAAATATTGTAGACATCCTGTATGCGGGAACTCTTATTTGTCTGTGCATGTACCACATTAACACCAACTAGACCGTACGTTTGAACAATTTCCATCCATGAAACCAGCATCAAAATAAGAGTGTTCTCAATAAATTGAGCACTATTCTCAAAAGGCTCATATTTCCATCCTTCCAGATTTCATGATGTCACACTCAAAGGGGGAAAAAGAAAGAAATCAATCAAGATATTATCTCCATGGCAACATAAACATTACCTGAAACCCTTGGCTACGAGCAACATCAATTATGCTCTTTCTTGTAATGCCAGGTAGGATTGTCCCCTTGATTGCAGGTGTGGAGATAATTTTATCCTAGGAACATATCATAAATGAGAATGTATCAGCTCTAAATCCCTCTAAATTTCATAAAAAAACATGCAAAGTATTCACAGTGACTTGATAACACACATGTAGAGAATACAAGGGATCATAGTAGAAAAAAAACCAAATTCTCTTAACGCTAGAAACAGCAATATTTGAAAGCGTCTATGCTACTTAACTGCAATTTTTCTTTTTTCCCCTTTTAATCAATTGCACAGCCAACTTATAAACACAAGCAAATCATAATAAATAAACCATTGCCTCATAACATACAACACACATAACCCAAAAAGTAAATCAATTCAAATAAATTAAACTGCAGATAGCAGAGGTACAATTGAGACAGAAAGTAACTACAGGGAAAACGACAGTCATCATACCCCTAAAATCGGATAAATGGTAAATATATCTCGCAATATGAGAAATAGAGTACAGAGGTATCTTTTATGCTTGACCACTAAAATAAGTAATTTAGATTCATCTCAAAAGATTGTCAGTCTTTTGAGAACTAATTTCTGAGTGGTTCTCATGATAATAGTTAGTCATTCAATAATCTAACAGAATTTTCGTTGGAAAAATGGTTGTTTTCAAATGCATACATATGAGAAAAATAATGAAAATTACAACAGAATAATCTAATACAAGAATGTCTAGGTCTTCTCAAAAAAATACGAGAACATCCAGACTGCTTGAAAATCAAACACATGCATTTATCTATGTACTGCAGCAACATGAAAGCTTGTACTTACACACATTTAAGATTAACCAATCCCAAAACTTCAAATTTCTCTTCCTTTTACCCCTATCTCCAACATCTCATGAGCTTGGTGTTATCACAAGTGAAATGCCCTTATTGAATTAACTACTCATCCCAAAAGATATACCAAAATTTTCATCCCAAGTAATATGTAATCCTATGTGGTGTTGACATGTAAATGAAGTAAAGATTTGGTAAATTAAGTGTCAAAACTACATAGGATGACACATCACTTGACACTTCTGATGAGATTTTTGGAATATCTCTTGGGATGTATAGCATTACTTGCCTTCATATTGATCCCTGAATTTACAAGAATGGACCTTTTACCAATGGCATTCAACAGTTCTAGTGGCCTGAAAGCCCCAAAGGACTCAACTCAGTATAATCAAGGCAATATCTTGGAAATTGAAGTAAAATCCAGGTAGAGCGAAGAGGAGGATGAAACCCTTTTGAACAAAATCAATAGCTACTAAAGGAACCTCATTAGAAACTACTATATATGTACTCCTTAGTCAAAATTATACTTAAGATGACGGATCACATGGCAGATTGACAAAGCCTGTCCTCCTGAAGGCAACCCGACAGGCAAGCACCTCCAAGGTAGAAAGGATGCATGTCTGCCTCAATAAACGCACACTCTAGCCAAACAGATTAATACCTTAAACAAACCTCCTGTGTCTCCAACAGCTACAATACCCCACTGCCCTGACACACATTAAGCAGTGGTCATACCAGCCTAGATACTGACAACACACCTGTTAGATGGCAGAATGCCTTTCAAGTCATGGTTTGGGGTGCTTTGATATGAATTTCATTGAAAAAGCATGCTAGGGCCCACATCCACGTAGACCTCTCACATACAAGAAAGTTTGAGTCTACATGAGCCCCAAAAAAGATGATAAATGACATAATTTACAGGTAAAAATAACAGCAGAGATCTGTAACACTTGATGTACATAAGCATTATTAACTGCATGCAATTTGTTGCATGATATCCTCGTGGAAAGGATAAGATGAATGAATATTTCTTCAATTAAGGAATAAATATTAAACAATTATTAATCTTTCTTCCATACTTGAGCGACAGATGAAACTATGGTAACAAAAGAAAATTACACTAAAAATAAGTAATACCTTCACAACAAAAATGTTGCAAGAGGAAACCTCCTCCAGGTATTGCTTGTGAACACAATCTAGGTAAAGAACATCAGAATAGCCTTTGGCCTTTGCAGCAGATTGAGCCTTAAGAACCTACAAATAAAATTTTGAATCATGGAAATATATTAGGGATTACTGAATTTAATGATGCAGATGTTAAACATTTTAACCCATCTTCATTGCCAAAAGGTTAACCATGCTATGATAATGGTGTCATCCACTTTTATAATAATGTGCTCAGGCCTTCCCTGATTTACCACAAGATACAGATTCCATACGTAACAACAGAAAAAGAGGTAAATCTAACTGTGAAGGCACATTACATTGTAGAGAAAGAAATATACAAGGAAGAAATTTCAAAAGAACATAAGAATTCAGAAAACCTAGATTTAATCAACCTATCAGTAGGCAAAACCTAGCAATCAGCAATAAAGAAAAACATAAATCTTAGGGTTCAAACAAAATGAAGAGAATTTTATGAAACAAACCAAAATTACTAATAAAACAAATGTCTTCAGAAAGAATATTGAAACTCAAATAGCTACTAAAAGGCTGGCTTACCGCAGCATAGTTTCCTATAGTTTTTACACCACCAGTACCCCCAAGAGTTGCACGATGTAATTCATGCTCAACAATCAAATGTATTGGTGCTACGCCTTCCTAACATTGCAAAAATAAACACTATAATTAATAGTTGTTGTAAGGGATGTGCCATAGCTATCCATAAGAAATTAAAACCAAAGAGATTCCATAGAGTTAAGACAGCGCATACAAAACATCTAATCCTTTAAAAAAAATACTAATGATAAATAACCAAAATATAAACACACACCACAAAAATTGCTTGCCAAAATACATTGTCACTCATTCACCAAATTGCCACTGGTCATAAAGGGCAAGTAATGAAATTCACTATACACAATGTCATGTATTCCATCTCTGGATGAGGAATATTTTTAATTAAAGATAGGGGGCTACATTTAAAAAAAAAAAAAAGTGTTTCTTTTTATAAAATTAAATACAATACATTTTTATTTTTAATGAATTTAATGTGTACCCTCAAGCCCTGAAGGCTGAAGCCCAATTATTAAAAATGTGACTGTTAGAAAAGAAAATCAAGATACGCTTAATGAGTACGTACTTACGTCAACTTACAAAAGCCCCAGCTTTATACCTGTTAGATTTGTCCTCTTTTTGATGGCAGTGGGATCTTAATCAGTTTTAAATCATGAGATCCAATAATGTTTAATATCTCATTTTTTTAACTAGTCCAACTAGAGGATCATAACACATGAATGCCTAGAATAAACCTAGAGATGGTGAAGCTTGTTGTAGATAAATACTTACAGCTTCCAGAAATAAATTGCTCATTATATATATGCAGATATGCTATCAAATAGCAGTCCATATTCACTTGATTTTTTTTTACATTTATTTGAATTACAATAAGACGTGCACACTTGAGCTTTCTCTTAATATTATCTTCAGCCACCATGATGTAGCTGAGTGTAATATATGAGATGAACATGAATAATTGTGCCATGGAAGTTATTTCTACTAATAATTAAAAAGAAACAAGAAGATATCAAACATGATTTTTTGGAATACATACTTATCTCTACTTGACAAGAAAGCAAACTAAAGAAACTTGTAATCACCACTGTATACTTAAAAGAGTTTCTTTCATCTGCAACTGCAATACCGAATTCAAAATGCAAACTAGAATTTGTACCAAGTATGACTAGTTCAGCTCCAGGGTCCAACTCATCTTGTCCTCTATAAGACCCATCTGTAGTTGGGTAAGCACGGAATATAGTTCTTGTGAGACAACACCAAAACCACCGCCATCTCCATACGCCACCCTGCACCAACATAACATAACATTTTACGTGATGTGTTTGTTATAAATTCACTATTATCAACCCTGCTAAGGACACCCCCAATTGAGCACTTGCAGGAGGTAATTCAAGGGTGTGCTTTAATTATTTGCACTCTTCCCCTAGGAACTCAAATTTTTATTAAGAAGGGCCACCTCACCAGCTGCTGTTATTAGCAAACCTCATATATAAACAGAATTCTTATTAATACATTTCATTTCGTGAATCAATTCCCCCGTTTAATATATATAGTAAGACCAGTACTTAAATAAATTAAAACATGAAGAGATGGTTTTTTATACATTCACTAGATAGCCAAGAGCTTTTTACCTTTTACCACGATAAGTGATGCTACCCACAGGTGATACAACCACAGCTGTTCCTGTGCAAAATACTTCATCAGCATCAAGCAATTCATCAACTGTCACAAGGCGCTCTTCAACCTGCAAGTTCAGATGACCACTGAAAAATCGAACCAATTCAAGGACCAATATTAAGAAGACCTATAAAGTGTGTAAAATGTAAGAATTTAAGAGGTCATTTTGTAACTTCTTATATTTGTAAGCTCAGATTACAAGTTGGGGGACTATGTCACTACAACAAAGGGTCATGGCACACATATTGATTACGCAGGAAAATTATTCAATACTTAAAACATCCTAAACTGTGAGTTTGGAAGCTTTGGGCTCTTTGTAACCTCAAACCAAGCTTTGGAAATATTGTAGACATCCTGTATGCGGGAACTCTTATTTGTCTGTGCATGTACCACATTAACACCAACTAGACCGTACGTTTGAACAATTTCCATCCATGAAACCAGCATCAAAATAAGAGTGTTCTCAATAAATTGAGCACTATTCTCAAAAGGCTCATATTTCCATCCTTCCAGATTTCATGATGTCACACTCAAAGGGGGAAAAAGAAAGAAATCAATCAAGATATTATCTCCATGGCAACATAAACATTACCTGAAACCCTTGGCTACGAGCAACATCAATTATGCTCTTTCTTGTAATGCCAGGTAGGATTGTCCCCTTGATTGCAGGTGTGGAGATAATTTTATCCTAGGAACATATCATAAATGAGAATGTATCAGCTCTAAATCCCTCTAAATTTCATAAAAAAACATGCAAAGTATTCACAGTGACTTGATAACACACATGTAGAGAATACAAGGGATCATAGTAGAAAAAAAACCAAATTCTCTTAACGCTAGAAACAGCAATATTTGAAAGCGTCTATGCTACTTAACTGCAATTTTTCTTTTTTCCCCTTTTAATCAATTGCACAGCCAACTTATAAACACAAGCAAATCATAATAAATAAACCATTGCCTCATAACATACAACACACATAACCCAAAAAGTAAATCAATTCAAATAAATTAAACTGCAGATAGCAGAGGTACAATTGAGACAGAAAGTAACTACAGGGAAAACGACAGTCATCATACCCCTAAAATCGGATAAATGGTAAATATATCTCGCAATATGAGAAATAGAGTACAGAGGTATCTTTTATGCTTGACCACTAAAATAAGTAATTTAGATTCATCTCAAAAGATTGTCAGTCTTTTGAGAACTAATTTCTGAGTGGTTCTCATGATAATGGTTAGTCATTCAATAATCTAACAGAATTTTCGTTGGAAAAATGGTTGTTTTCAAATGCATACATATGAGAAAAATAATGAAAATTACAACGGAATAATCTAATACAAGAATGTCTAGGTATTCTCAAAAAAATACGAGAACATCCAGACCGCTTGAAAATCAAACACATGCATTTATCTATGTACTGCAGCAACATGAAAGCTTGTACTTACACACATTTAAGATTAACCAATCCCAAAACTTCAAATTTCTCTTCCTTTTACCCCTATCTCCAACATCTCATGAGCTTGGTGTTATCACAAGTGAAATGCCCTTATTGAATTAACTACTCATCCCAAAAGATATACCAAAATTTTCATCCCAAGTAATGTGTAATCCTATGTGGTGTTGACTTGTAAATGAAGTAAAGATTTGGTAAATTAAGTGTCAAAACTACATAGGATGACACATCACTTGACACTTCTGATGAGATTTTTGGAATATCTCTTGGGATGTATAGCATTACTTGCCTTTATATTGATACCTGAATTTACAAGAATGGACCTTTTACCAATGGCATTCAACAGTTCTAGTGGCCTGAAAGCCCCAAAGGACTCAACTTAGTATAATCAAGGCAATATCTTGGAAATTGAAGTAAAATCCAGGTAGAGCGAAGAGGAGGATGAAACCCAGTTGAACAAAATCAATAGCTACTAAAGGACCCTCATTAGGAACTACTATATATGTACTCCTTAGTAAAAATTATACTTAAGATGACGGATCACATGGCAGATTGACAAAGCCTGTCCTCCTGAAGGCAACCCGACAGGCAAGCACCTCCAAGGTAGAAAGGATGCATGTCTACCTCAATAAACTCACACTCTAGCCAAACATATTAATACCTTAAACAAACCTCCTGTGTCTCCAACAGCTACAATACCCCACTGCCCTGACACACATTAAGCAGTGGTCATACCAGCCTAGATACTGACAACACACCTGTTAGATGGCAGAATGCCTTTCAAGTCATGGTTTGGGGTGCTTTGATATGAATTTCATTGAAAAAGCATGCTAGGGCCCACATCCACGTAGACCTCTCACATACAAGAAAGTTTGAGTCTACATGAGCCCCAAAAAAGATGATAAATGACATAATTTACAGGTAAAAATAACAGCAGAGATCTGTAACACTTGATGTACATAAGCATTATTAACTGCATGCAATTTGTTGCATGATATCCTCGTGGAAAGGATAAGATGAATGAATATTTCTTCAATTAAGGAATAAATATTAAACAATTATTAATCTTTCTTCCATACTTGAGCGACAGATGAAACTATGGTAACAAAAGAAAATTACACTAAAAATAAGTAATACCTTCACAACAAAAATGTTGCAAGAGGAAACCTCCTCCAGGTATTGCTTGTGAACACAATCTAGGTAAAGAACATCAGAATAGCCTTTGGCCTTTGCAGCAGATTGAGCCTTAAGAACCTACAAATAAAATTTTGAATCATGGAAATATATTAGGGATTACTGAATTTAATGATGCAGATGTTAAACATTTTAACCCATCTTCATTGCCAAAAGGTTAACCATGCTATGATAATGGTGTCATCCACTTTTATAATAATGTGCTCAGGCCTTCCCTGATTTACCACAAGATACAGATTCCATACGTAACAACAGAAAAAGAGGTAAATCTAACTGTGAAGGCACATTACATTGTAGAGAAAGAAATATACAAGGAAGAAATTTCAAAAGAACATAAGAATTCAGAAAACCTAGATTTAATCAACCTATCAGTAGGCAAAACCTAGCAATCAGCAATAAAGAAAAACATAAATCTTAGGGTTCAAACAAAATGAAGAGAATTTTATGAAACAAACCAAAATTACTAATAAAACAAATGTCTTCAGAAAGAATATTGAAACTCAAATAGCTACTAAAAGGCTGGCTTACCGCAGCATAGTTTCCTATAGTTTTTACACCACCAGTACCCCCAGGAGTTGCACGATGTAATTCATGCTCAACAATCAAATGTATTGGTGCTACGCCTTCCTAACATTGCAAAAATAAACACTATAATTAATAGTTGTTGTAAGGGATGTGCCATAGCTATCCATAAGAAATTAAAACCAAAGAGATTCCATAGAGTTAAGATAGCGCATACAAAACACCTAATCCTTTAAAAAAAATACTAATGATAAATAACCAAAGTATAAACACACACACCACAAACATTGCTTGCCCAAATACATTGTCAGTCATTCACCAAATTGCCACTGGTCATAAAGGGCAAGTAATGAAATTCACTATACACAATGTCATGTATTCCATCTCTGGATGAGGAATATTTTTGGGTGTGTTTGTTTTAGTATTTTTGATATTTTTAGAGTTGGGTGGGAATAACAAGGTAGGATTTAAAAATTAACAAAACACCCCCCTAGATTTGTTAATTTACTAAACACCCCTTAATAAAAACATTTAGAATTACAAAAACACCCCCACTCACCCATTAAATACCGACAGCCGGCCACCACCATCGAAAGGTGGCCAGATTTGCCGTATCATAGCACGACCGACTGGATCTAGCCAATCGTGCGTCGAGAAAGCATTTTCCAGCCAGATCCACCATGGATTTGGCCGGAAAAGGCCAAATTTGGCTATGTTTGGTTGTCAACGACAGCCATATCTTGGCCGTCATTAACAACCAGATCTTTGGCCGTAGATCTGGTCGGAAAATGATAGATCGGCGCACTACCGGTAAGATTCAGTCGGTAGTGCGTCATTATACCAGATTCCAATCACCTTCCGGCAGTGGCCACCGGAATCTAGCAAATGTGGGGGGTGGGGGTGTTTTTGTTAATTTTTAAACTTTTTTGGGGTGTTTAATTAAATTAATAAACTTATGGGAACTAAAAATAATTGAATAAAATATAATAGTATTTCCTAAATAATGAAACAAACAATTATTTTGATAATAGGATTGGAAATAAGGTAGAAAATAGTATACCAAATGGACCCTTTTATATTTATTGTCATAGAATTGCTAATTATAATTGCTAATAGTACTTCATAATATTTTTTTTAAGCAAAAGACTTGAATTCATCAATATTTCTGATATAAAAATTGGAGAAAACACAAGAGATTGCATCATCACTTCAAATAAGATTGAGCATGAAATTCAGAAATTGCATCTAGATCTAAAATGTCTGTAATGAGTCATAATTTATAAGCAGATAGCAAACCATGATTGATTGTAACAACACTTTTCCACATGATAATAAAGCAAGTATTCACTTACTATTATTTTGTGTACATATGTGCAAGTTTGTGTGACAGTGTGTATGTGCATGAGGGAAAAATATATCATAGAAAGCAGATAAAGGAGATAAAGGAGAAGTGACAGAGAACAAGGTAAAGACACCAAGTCTTAGGTAGCAAACTAAGTTGTAATTTGCATGTAACAAAAAGTAACAAACCTTAAAGTAGTTCCCAACAGGTGATACATAAATCAGAAAAGTATACTCAGGAGCAGGTGCAAGACCAAGAACAGCTCCACTTCCCATTAGCAAAGGCCTGATATATAAAGAACCTTTACCAGGAGGGGGAATCTGAAATGAAATATTAGCAACGAAAGATTCAAGAGCAGTTACTAACCACTCAAGTCACTAAAAAGGTCAAAAACTCATAGTGCAAAATTAAACCATTTTATACCCAACGTTTGTTCGCCAAAACAGTAGCCTTGACAGCTTCCACAAACTGTTCAATTGATGGTGATGGCATGCACATCCTTTCAGCACCCATCCTCATCCGCTGTGCATTTTCCTCAGGTCGAAATAAAAGTATACTACCATCTTCTTTCCTGTACGCTTTCAGACCTTCAAATAATCCCTAGTTACAAATAAGGAAAAGAAGAAAAAAAGATAAATAATCATTAAATTGACCCAAATGAATTAATATTTTAATTGAAGAATTTTACAACTTCCTTTATTATATCTTCCCTTCTTTTTGTTTTAGCCCCCAAAATCCTGAAATCACCAATTCCCTCACCTCCCTCTCCCCCCACACAAAAAGAAATCATGGTTTTGATTCCAAAAACATCTTATACACCTATAATTGGTCTTATCAACTACACTAGCTGGTGCTTACCCCTATGTAATCATTTAGTATTTCAAAAATGTAAAATATTTCAACAGCTAATCATTTAATGAAGTGAGCACTGCAACTCCCCTAGACAATGTCTTTCCATTATCCACTATTTTCTATTACTTTTGAATTCGCAATGGTAGAAAACAAATATTCACACATGCAGGCATGTCTCATCTGTTATTCATTTCTATACTACCTAACTGGTCCACCTCTGACTACCTGATATAAATATGGTGATGGACCTGAATGCTTTATTTTATGGCAGATGATCTTAACTACAGAGATGCTTTTGACAAACTCCAGGGTACTTTAGGCGAAGTCTTAAATAAATTTCAAGGATGTTTCTATTACATGCTAAAAGTTCATGTGAATGATCTGAAAAATTAGAAAAGCAAAATCCAGTAAACTTTAGCCACATTTTAGAGGAGATCAATGAAATATTCTAGAATACTTTTAACAACCAAAAAATTCAAGAGTTTGCCTAAATACAGGTGAGGAACCTTGTAATTTATATCTTCTAAAAACGAAGTTTTTCCGACAAAAAAGATCTCCATAACACAATCAATCATTGAAGAAAATAAAGCAGTTTAACCAAAAATTAGCATTTCAAAAAATATCATCTACAATAATGTGCAGGGAAATTAATGCACTAGATAAAGTTGCTGCACAAAAACATACTACATGAAAAACTCAATATCAAATATGATATGGTTCAGGGTGAAAATTCAGCATTGCAAAGATTAAAAAGCTAACCTGACCATAATTCAAAACACCAGCTGATGGGCTCAACTCAATATTACCGAAACGCTGTAATTCACCTTTAGAGAAGTTTCCATCCCGCGAACATTTCATCACATACATATAATCAGTAGGAAGAAACGAGAATCCAAGGTTGTCCCAGTCTATGTCCGCCAATTCAGTCTTTTGGTTGCTATATACCAAACCAATATACACGCACACCAGAAAAACACAAGTAATAAACACAAAATAACTATTCAGCATAATCCTTAAAATTACAAATATGCATATAAAATAGTACCTTGAAACACATCTATATCCATTATCGATCATTCATTTCAAGAATTGCAAGCGAAACCTCTACAGTATCCAATTGAAAACAAAACAAGTACAAACCTGAAAGTATTAGATAAAACAGCATAACGAGTGAAAGGAGAAGGGGGTTGATTAACATTGCAAGAAGATAAAGAAATTGGCTTTTGAAGCTGCAAAAAGAGTGAAAATCAACGGAAAATTAAAGAGATAGTAGAAAAGTAAAAATTGAAATGAAAAATAGTGAATCGGTCACCTTGAGAGAAGGGGGAGGAAGGAAATGTTGTTGCCTTTGAGAAGCGGAGAAGGAGAGAGGAGGAAGAAGGAGATTACAAGTGTTACGTGAAAGGTAATTGGTTGGCTGAAGGCCTGTTAACACTGCGCTGCTCTCCATTTCCTCTCTCTCTCTTTCAGTCTTTCTCTCTCTCTGATCTTCTCTCACAGTGTTTTTCTTTTGTTTTGTTTTTGTAGTGTCAGTGGAGGCTGCTGATTATGGGCGGAGGTTAAATCTTCTATTTAACCTAGATTCTATAACTACCTAAAGTTAAACGCTTCTTTCCATATTTGGAACCAACGTTTTCGATCGAAAAATGTTACACCACATCATTTTCTCACAATCCCCATATAATAACAATTCTTAATTAGTCAATTTATATTTTATAATAGATCTCACTTGAATTTTAGTTAATAAATTTTAACCAATTGTTTGTCACTTTAAATGGTGATGGTAGCATTACTCTTTTTACAAAACTTTTTGAAATTATCTCTATAGTTTATACTTCTATAGTCTAATGAGTGTCTTTTTAGTAGGATTGTATATGTATATTGGTTGCTTTTATTTTTAGTAATCTATTACTATTAATATCATCAATAAGATGTTGTGTAGAAAGATAAGATCTTTCACCTATTATTTATAGAAAATGTTATACTCACAACCTTTTCTTACAAATTTCCTCTCACAACCCTGATGTAATAATTCATAATTAATTATTTTGTAATTGATCAGCTCGTAATTAGTTTCATCTAGATCCCATCTGATAAATTACGACTAACCAATTATGAGTTACCACGTCATAATCGTAAGAGAAAATTTGTAAAAAGAGACTATAGACGTGGCATTACTCTTTGCAAAAAAGAGAGAGAACTTGGTTTAATCTACTTTTTCAATGTATAATTTTTCCGCAACAGGCAAAAGAATCCACCATTGTTTTAAAACCCAGACCAGGGGGCAACCCGTTTTGCTGTCTGTGGTCACGGGTCAACCGGTCCAATTGATTGGACCGATGATGTCAGCAATAATTTAATTTTTCAAAAATTACTATTAATCCCTTAAATTTTAGTATATTACAAAACATCCCTAAAAATTTCAAAGTAGTCCCTAAATTTTTTACTTATTTCCAAAATACCCCAAAAATTACTAATTGATTCCTAAACTTTTGATATATCTCAAAACACCCTTGAAAGTAACAAAGTAGTCCCTATAAATTTAAAATATTACAATACCCCCCTAAACCCTGAACCAGACCGGAAAAGTTGTTGAGTCCCGATCGAACCAGCCAGTCTGGTCCGGGTTTTAATACAGAGGAATCCACAAAGCCATTCTCCCAAAACTCCAATTTCGAGTTTCCTAATCAAATGAATTACAGTTTGGCAAGCTTCATAACAATGACAGGTACCAGAAGTTTGACATAACAATCGTATTGAAAACTCACTGAACTCACCATTTTGGCACGTTAACGTATCATTAGTGTTGGTTTCGTGATGCTTCTGTATTGGTTATTTGGAAGCATATACGTACACTCCTACCATAAATAAAGGAATTGCTACTTCAAATTCCTGGATAGTAAAGGAGAACTGCGGTAATAACATGGTGTAGGAAACCCTTTACCACCTGTAGTGTGCAAATAAAAACAACAAAAGCCAATCTGCATTCCAAACTTATCACCACCAATTTCAGGAGTCGGTAGATACAATCATCTAGGCAAAAGTAATCTACCACTTACCAAACAACATAGTAGGAAACCCAGAAGCCATACCGTAATACAAAATAAAATGTGAACCACCAACTGCCCTAAAGAAACCCCCACACAAAGGAAAGACCATATAGGATGGACAAAAAATTTACAAATATCTCACTAGATGATAGTTAGCTAAGTCATCTACAATTTGGGCCCGGGTACGAAAAAGTCTGCCGGCAATATTGACTAAAATCCTCCAACTGTTAAAAACCAAATAGTAACCTGTATCACATCGAAAACGTAATTAGTTAATTTACTACTGTTTATCTAGGACTAGGTCAAATGAAACAACCAGAAAGAGAAAGAAAGGTACTTCTGTGCAAGACTGCTCTAAAATACTGCACTGTGGCGGAGCGGCTCCAGAATTCTACTTCTTCACTTTGGATCTTGTCCTCTTTGCAATTTGCTCATCTTCCTTAGAATTGTCAGATTGGCCAAGATCATGCTCATTAAGCTTCTGATCACTCTTTCCAGATACATCATCTTTCTGAAACTACAAAAGAAAATAGGCTATGAATTTCAATCACAATAAAAAGAAAAAGATATAGGAACAAAACAGCAGTATAAAAGGATATACGAACAAAACAGCAGTATACTTCAAACTATTAATGGCACAGGCCATGGAGTAGCCAATACAAAAAACTTCCATCATGACGTGCCAGAGTCTGAGTCAGTGACAAATGGAAATCAGAGAACACATAATACAACTTTAAACAAATAAATCAAAATGCATCCCTAACTTTTGTGACTGAAAACTCATTAATTCCCAGAAAAAAAAAAAAAATGAAGATTAAGGACAGTTACAACTCAAAAAGTAGATCGCCATATTTTCTCTAATGAAAGATGCAGTCAAATGATATCTAGCACTGTTGTTTGGCCAGATTAAGAAAGATATGTTTAGCTTTGTTTCTTATTCCCCCCCAAAAAAATAAAATAAAATAAAATAAAATAAGGGGAGGAACTGCAATGAACTATACTTACTATCACTTCAAGGACATAAGAGCCTAATCCAGGAACACCTTTAAAATGGGTTCAAAACAACCAAACAATCATTACACAAACACATAATTTTGAAAATGCAGGAATAAAAAATGGTAACAAGTATTGCATGCTGTTTATTACATGAAAATACATGATAAATATGATCTGAGAACATTAGTTGTTACCTGACTAGTCTCAGTAACTTGTTTAACATTTCCCGTCTCTACTTGTGTAGAATCTGAAAAAACATTCTTTCCTCCAGCATTAAGAACATCCAGATCTGGTCCAGCAACAGGATTCTGCAAATGAACATTCTCAGTAACTTGTTTAACATTTCCCGTTTCTACTTGTGTAGAATCTGAAAAAACATTCTTTCCTCCAGCATTAAGAGCATCCAGTTCTGGTCCAGCAACAGGATTCTCCAAATGAACTATATTTTCTTGATTGATGATATCTTGATCATCAATCTTTTCACAAGTCACTTCTGAAATTCTAATGATTTTATCTATAACTAATACACTAGTCTCCTCAGAACCTCCCTGATTATGATTCGATGAGATGACTACATGTTGATCCTCTCGCACACTTGATTCTTTCGAAATTACACTGACACAAATACAACAAATGATTCAAATTGTAATTCAAAGTAGAAGCTACTACACATTAAGAAATTTTAAGGATATGACTAGAAGCAAAGAAACTGATTATAGAGGAAAAGAGTTTTTACTCGTGGGTGGTGGCCTCTTCGGATGGATTTGCAGGAACATCTTGTTGCTGCCTCCTCTTTTTCTTCTTCTGCCTTTGCAGTTCTGATGGATCAACAAATTCACTGGAAACATAGTTATCAGCCCTTCTTTTCCTTCCACCCTGAAGTCCATCCTCTGATATTGATTGCAAACACTTTTCAGCGGCATCTTTCTTGATTTCAGATTCTGAATCATGCGCTCCTTTAGCATCCTTATCTTCAGAGGGAACTTCAAGTATCACTTTTGGTTCTCCAAATGCAAATCTCACGGATTGCCTCTTACTAGAAGTAGCCAAGCTTGCATCTTCATGGTCAGATGTCACAGACTTATCCTCATCCTTTGATGAGGGTTTCTCGGGGGAATATTTAAACAATAAATCAGTGCATTTCTTGATCCATGAGAATCGAGCAGAGCTGGGATGAGAAGAACCATTTTCTTTTTGCACAGGAGGAGAATTAAACCCATTGCCATTGTCAGTAACATGTAGATTATTTTGTGAAACCAAATCAACATGTGATACGGGACTTTGCAGCTTTGAATATCTTCTGGCAGAAATTTTCTGCTGGGTATGCTCCAGCCTTGAGTGTTGCATCTCACTCACAGCCATATAATCTACAGCTATTTTCAAATCCTCCAATTTATTCAAGTGTTCGATCTCAGTTTGAATCTCTTCTCTATCAGCATGCAGCAATTCTCTCTGTTTTTCTAATTTCTGTCTTTGCACCTTCAACTCCTCAATTGAATTATTTAGTTCTGCCCATTCCTTGTCCCTTCTCTGACGATCTAAATTGATCTCCATTCTCTCAGCATCAAGCCTCTTCATTTCTAAAGTGACCTGTTCCAATTCTTTCTCTGCTTTTTCCCTAAGACAGCTAATATGCTCAAGTTCTTTCTTCTTTTCTTCGTCAAAGGTCTTCTCTTTTTCTCTAAATGAACTTTCTAATTCTTCACGCCTTTTCTCAATACAGTCCTCCAGTTCCCTCTTCTGCATCTCAATACCCAATAAGAAATCAGCACGCTCCCGCTGAATCTTATTGAACCACTCAGAATGCTCATGTACCATCTTGTTCATGAATTCTTCCCGCTCATGATTAAGTGATTCAACATCCCGTTTATGCTGATCTCGCATTGCATTCCTCTCTTGTCGAAGGCTATCACGCTCATCCTTAAGAAACACAGAAATGGCCTCTCTCTCAACAGCAACACGTTCTGCTTCCTTCCGCAGCTCTTCTCTCTTTTCATCCATGAACTCCCACTCTGCTTCAAACTTTGTTTTCTCTGCTTGCAATTTGTCTACCTCAGCCATAAGTTCCAGTTTCTGAGCCCTAACCATATCAAGTTCTTCTTTAAGTTTCATCTCTAAGATTGATAGTTCGTCTGTTTCACTTTTCATGGCTTCTAGTTTCTCCTCTGCACGAAAAACTTGTTTCTGTTTGGCATCCAGTGAAGCCGAAAACTTCTGAAGATCTAACTTCATTTCTTTAACATCTTCTTTTTCTTTTTCTAGAAGTGATTTCTTCAGTTCAACCTCCTTTGCAGAAGAAATCAAACTTTTTTCCTTCTCATCAAGTAGATTTGACCTCTCTATCACATCCTTCTCTTTATCTGCCAATGCCCTTGACTGAACCTCTAAGTCATGTTCCCTTTCCAGAAGCACATCCTCCCGCTGATTAAGATCCATCTCCCTCAACTCCCATGCTCGTCTCTTGGTCTCAATTTCATCTTCCACCAATTTGCTCCTCCTCTCCAACTCAGCCTCAAATTCCAACTTCTTTACTCTTAAAATAGAATCATGATTGGCAACTGCCTTTTGAATTTCATCCTGCATTGTCAATCAAAATAAAATTTAAAAAAAAAAAAAGGCACAAGTAACTGCATTGATTCATAAAGTATGAAAACCCTTCAAGCAAAAAGAGATCACAAAACACTCTACACTCAGAACAATGATCATACACATTACTATTATTCAAAAAAGAAAAGAGACAGATGAGACCAGAAAACTCACAGATTCTTTGCTTGCAAGTTTTTCCTTTGCAAAATGTAGTTCCTGCTCCTTCTTATTCAGCAAAGCTTCCCTCTCAATAATGGCCTGTGTACACCAAAAACAGAGGCTACTTTAATATAACATCCAATAAGAGAAACATTCTCAAACAGACAATAGCTTAACATCAAGATATTTTTAAGAAGTAAAAAACTAGTATGAACCTCTTCTCTTTTTGATAAGGAAAGCCTGGAGAGTTCTACATTGGATTTCTCTTCCTTTAAGGCTAAGAGTTTCTCCTCAAAACTTGCTCTTGAGGCCTCTAATTCTTTTTCAAGTCGACTTATTTCCAGAGATCTACTAAAGATGTGGTCTTCCCTTTGATTCAGCGAAGTTTGTGCATCAAGCAATCTTTCATGTTCTTGCTGCAGAATCTTCTTCCTTTCACTTAATGATTGTCTCTCAAGAATGATCTCTTTCTCTTTCTCATCACAACTAAGACATGGCAAAATAAATAAATAAATTTATACATTATTGAGGCAGCTTTCAAAGGTTCCTTACAAATCTATAGCACTATAATTATAAGGCCATGAGCAAAGTGTTGCAATGTGTAAGTGAGATGCATTTTCTTCTCATCCCCTGCCTAGTTTTTGTTAGTCATTTCAATTTGGAATTAAAGCAAACCACAGATACCTCATTGCCTCACTTGAACCTCTCTCCTAATGTAAACTGGGTCAAATAAATATAAAACTAAAATAGCTTGCACTTTAAAAATTACACAAACAAGATGGAAAACACATACTCAGACTTGAAAGATACAATGCGCTTAGAAAGATCATCTTCACGTGTCTCAACTTCCTTCAGCTTTCTTTCTGCAGAACGATGAAACCTGCTAGCCTCAGCTTCTAAAGATTCTGCAGCACGCAACTTTGCTTCAGCCTCTACAAATTTTCTCTGAGCATCTTCAATCATAATGCGTGCTTCAGCCAATTTACACTCAGCTGCAACCTTTATTTCAGCAGATTCTGCACGCATCTCATGCAAGGCCTTCTCAATCTACAAAAATCCATTAAAAAGTAACAATAATCATTACAGCATAATGCAAGAAGGAAATATTTACTCAATTAAAGAAAGATTCAAAATAATATCTTACACTAGCTAAACACTCTTTCTCAACACCTAAAGCTTTCTTCAAACTTTCTTCCCGTTTCTTTGCTTCAGCCATAGCAGATAAGTGCGCAGCTTGGTCACGCTTATGCAATATTTCAGCTGCTTCAGCAGCAGCATTAATTTGCTCATACTTGGAAGCCAACTCCTTTCTTTCCAATATGAGAAGGCCCATATGATGCTGGTGGTCAAAGATCTACATAAAGTAAAACTGCTGAGATCTACAATTGAACATAAACTAATGCAAGGAGAGATAATTTCGAAATCTAATATAACTGTCCAATTGGGGTTACACAAAAAAGTGTTAAATCATGGTTCCAACTACATATTTGAATAACATTTAATAACGTACAGCATTAGACTTGTAATATAGCAAAGAGAACATCATATTAGCGACATTGATTGTAAAACAATCGACATTAAATGTTATTAAAGTTATTAATATAGTTTTGTCGTTAACAAAACATGTTATGCCGCTATGCAGTAATGTTACCAGTATTCTTACTACGGGTAGCATAACAATTCCCATGAAATCAATTATACATATACACCATACAGAATAATTCTATTTCTTTACTCTTCTCATCTAAAGATAGAAGCCACACACTTAAGCCCGGTTCCCTTTTAGAAACAATTAAATTTAAAAGTTGAAAATTCAAAAAATACTAATCCTTTGTTTTTCACAACTGTTTCATCAACAAAAAGAAAAATAAAATAAACCAAACCAAATTAAAACAAAAATGAAATCAAGAAACAATGAAAAGTAAACTTTAAAGAACAATCAACAAACCTCAGCTTCAAGCTTTGCTATGTAAGCAATAAGAGCGGCCTTGTCTCTGCGTTTAATCGACTCTTCATCGAGTCCGGCCTCTCTGAGTCTCTTCCAGATCGTTTCATCAGTCAAAGGACTGTGCAAGATTCTTGAACTCGGCGTGATTACGAGTCTTCCTGAGGTAGGACTCGCCATCACCGGCGAGTAGAATCAAAACCCTAGATTCTGTGATCCGGTGGTGTTTGGCAAGCGCCAATCTAATCTTTCACGTTTCTTGCTTTTGCCTTTTATGTTGTTTTCGTCTTTCCTTTCTCTGAAGAGTGGCAGAGAGTGTTGTGCTGTACTCGAGTTAAAATTGAATCTTGAGAGTAGAACTGAGAGTGGCTTTACTGGACCGAGTTGGGCTGAGTTGTTGAAAATAAAGTAAAATTGGGTTTTGTGAAGGAAGGTGCTTCATATGGACAAGATGAAACGTCGTCGTTTAAGATATTTTTTGGATGCTTATTGCTTAATCTACAAAGCCGCCTTTGATTTTTGGATTAGCAGTTGAAAGTTTAAAGATCTTGTTGTCTTCAGATGGAAACTAGTAACTAATAGTCAATGCTCTGTGTCATCCAAATTTAAGAAAGGTAAATCAAAGTTTATTTTATTGGACGAATTTATATTATATTATTCCTTCACCCTGGTGTATATATATATGTGATATGTTTGGTCCTTAAATATTTCAAAAAATATTATACTGCATAGGCATTCAATTTAAATAAATGTATTTACAATTTAAAAATATCACATTTGTCAAGTTGGTTAGAGCAACGTTAAACTTGTGTGGGAAAAGGGTCTATTCCATTTCACAAAGGAAGTAATTTGTCTATTGAAAAGGAAAAATTACTTGTTCAAATGTNATGTTGTTGTCTTCAGATGGAAACTAGTAACTAATAGTCAATGCTCCGTGTCATCCAAATTTAAAAAAGGAAAATCAAAGTTTATTTTATTGGACGAATTTATATATATATGATATGTTTGGTCCTTAAATATTTCAAAAAATATTATACTGCATAGGCATTCAATTTAAATAAATTTATTTACAATTTAAAAATATCACATTTGTCAAGTTGGTTAGAGCAACGTTAAACTTGTGTGGGTAAAGGGTCTATTCCATTTCACAAAGGAAGTAATTTGTCTATTGAAAAGGAAAAATTACTTGTTCAAATGTTGAATATTAGTCCAAATTAAACATACAAAATTTTCAACGGATAGAATTTTAACCCTGCAGCAACATTTCTTAACGTGCTAACCACCTTGGGCATTAATTTTAAAAACACAGTTAAATATCCAATTCTTTATCCTTTCTAAGATCATGTTTTGAATTTTTTATTTGAAGATTAAATTATTTTTTATTCATTTCTATTATCTTTTATTTCTTGCATTTATCTTTATTATTTAAGTTAAACAACTCTCGTGCATCAGTCATTCACTAATCAATACTTTTTTTTTTTTTTTTGGTATTGGAATTTGGAAGGTGTAATGGGTAGCTTGCGAAAACCTCAACAACTTTTCACATTGTCATTTCTAAGTATATAAATTATGTTGACACCTTATTCTTCAATTTTATAGCTTAATTAGTTTCTTTTTCTTATAACACAGAATCCTCGAAATTTGCTTACTCAACTCAAGTATAAAACCAAATTCTTTGCTACCCTTATTAAACAATAATTGATTCCCAATCTCAATCATGCATTCCAGTAAACAAAAAATATCCTATGTGATAGTAAAGATAGCAAGAGTTGATGAACACATTTTATTTATGTTGATGCTTACAACATATATACATATACGCCCTTTAAAAACAATCAACAGCGCCTTCAAATAAGTCCAGGATGAAAAAGCGTGTTTCTATTTACAAAAGGCAAGTCATTTTAGCGTCAAAGTAGTTACATAAATATTTACTTTCACCACAGTTTACTCTTTACATGCTGGAAGTTGCTTTCTTCTCCTGATAGTAGTTTATCCACCCTTCAATCAGCTTAATTTCAGTTTCCCGTTGCTCTATCAACCAAGCCGGATCCTCAGGAGTAGAAGGACGCAAATCTATGTGATGCGCACCTGATAAATGGTAGAAGGAAAGAATCACTTTCAGCAAAATTATTAAGCTGCCTAGCCATAAGGCAATATGTCATAAGAGATCATCAATTCATTTATTCATTCATAATGCAATGACCTCTGGTAGATTCACTTTTGACAAACAATAAGCAGGATATTGTACAGATAACTAACTTATCTCATAGAAAATGGCCTATGGAAAATCATTTGATGAATGCAACTTCTCGCATCACTACTAACCTTATCAAGCCTACAAGTGAGCAGTGGTAAATCCATTGATGCACTAGATTCTAAACCTTTTAGAACTTAAATACAAGGACCAGGGTTTATATAATTCTAGGATGGAGTCACTAAAACAATGGGAATTTCTTTTTCTTTTTTTTTTTTTTTTCTTCATAGGACACACCAAAAGGTAATTACATGGGTCTTCTCTTGCAATTGTTGTATAGATCGTAAGTTCTGGTTAACCCCATGCAGCCAAAGGCCAGTATGTCCAACATCCTTAGAGAGCTAGGTACAAGATTGACCAATAAGGCCTCATAAACAGCATTCTTGAGAAGGGCCATCCAATTCATCAGCACCCCTTACTCAGCAACTCTCACCTCTGACCCAAGGAAACCCTTTTTTTTTTTTTTTTTTTTTTTTTTTGTTCAGATAGAAACCTCCTAGAATTTAAATTCAGCGAAAGGCAAAAGCCATAGAACTAACCCTTTTCCAGGTCAGTGAAGACTTTTCAATACCATCCTGCCAGATGGAAGAAGATTATAGAACAAGAAGTTCGCCTGAACCTACTAGTAAATGAAACTTCCAAGACACTTTATGTTATACTTAAATCAGTAATCATCCACTATATTCCAATAGAAGAAGAAGAAGATAATACATAGCAAATTATGCCATTCAACAGTTAACGTACATGGTTGCAGGGATAGTTTATGATGGTTTTGTGCATAGTTATATTCTGACTAAAGATTGAGGATTCTACATGGGTAGTTTCTGAAATTTGTCCCCAAAATGATATCAGCCCAACCTTAAGCCGCTGGGGCAGATAATTGTCATATGTTAATTCAAGCTAATCACCCAAATGTTTTGAACTGAATTGAGCCACTGATTACACAGAATTAATCCACCAGGGCAATAACAAAATACATCTAAAGGGAGGGTTGCAAAACAACATCTCATCAAATAGCAGCCCAATGTCTAAAATAGAAAGATAGGTGCATCAAAGCCTTTATAGCCGAAATCATAGCGATTGTTTAAAAGAAGAAAGAAAAAACTAGTTCCAACAGATTAACGTGAGTTGAAGGCCTGATAGCCTTAGTATATACAGATAACTGTAACGATTGAAAGATGATTTCAGATAAAGCATTACCTTCTTCGGTTACAAGAGCAACAATAGTATCAGATATATTGTGGAGAACGCTGCAACAAGCAAATGAACACCATCAGAAAATGAAAATTAGCATCAATAGCTACATCTCAGCTGTGTGAAGAATTTACCTGCCACCACTCCAGGGATCCAATAGACCATTTGAGAAAATGATGTTACTTCCAAACAGTGTCAACGCAGTCTTGATATCCTTCATGATAGAAATGGACAAAGACAGAATTAAACTATAGCATTCAAGAATACGCAATATTTGTATCATGAATATGGGACCACAAGCTATTCATTGACAAAATATTACAGGTTTTATACCTAACATATATAAGAAGCAATTGAAATAGCAAACATAGCCACACGATATATTTGCATGAACCAACAGACCCTTGCAAAATGATAATGATACCGCTTTAGGACACAAGATTCTGAAAAATGACTTATAAGCATATCTAACTGCCAGCCTCAAGATTTAGGTTACTCCACTTAAGCGTCTCAAGACAAAACAAGCGGCCCAAAGCAAGCAGAGCACAGTACAATTGGCAAAATAAATTTACAAGACCAGAGATGGGAATTCAATATAACCACCATTCAGATCAAAGACTATTCTATCAACGTTTTTCCCATTCCCAGAAGTGCACTCTTGAATCTTTTATGCTGGGGATTTAGGGGAATCACAGCAACTTGAAGCAAATAGCAAGAATAAAGAGAATTTGGGAATATAAACATTGTCCTTCGCTCTAGCATATCTTTTTATTATGTCAAGTGTAAAAGTTTACTTTTCTGAATAAAGTGTCCTATTAAGTACCCTAGGGTTCACACTTTTGAAACCTTAAGAAAACTCAGTAGTCAACTGTAAGTTACATGACAGTTGAACTTTTTCTTGATCAAGACTTAAAAGGAAAGTGCACAAACACACATAACATACAAAAACATAATTTTCTGAGATCTAATAAGACAAGAAAATGCATAAAGACAAGTTCACCCACATTCCATGTATGGTTATTCCATCAACCCCCATTTTGTAGCTATAAGATTTCTTACACAATTCACATACGTAAATAGCGTATGCAAGTGCCAACATACTTAATATACAATATCAACAAAACCAAAATATGGTAAGGGAGTCAACTGAGAAAAATGGTAAGGGAGAGACGAATCAATTCTCATACACAACCTGTAATTCAAATGGATAAATTCCTTTATATCCAAACAACAGATGTGAGAAAGAGACAAACGTTCACTATATAAGATTGATCATATTTTTTTTTTTCAAAGAAGGATTCCCTTACATGTCCACCAAATTGCGTTGTTATCCATCGAGGTCTTGGTACCACCTTGAATTTCTTCCAACATTCTTCTTGAAAAGAGGAGTAATTGAAGTCATATGTAGGAAACATGCTCGCATCTTGGCTACTAGACATTGGCATAACCATCTCAGTGCATGCCTGCAGTGGGAAATAGAACAATCGAAAGAACCTAAGATAAATATGATCCTTTCAGGAAATTAAACATTAGCAAATGCATAATTGTTTGAATCACTAAAGAACTCTTAGACCTGCCAGTTCCAACCATCCAAGCCATGAGGATCATCATCTAGTTCAAAGCAGTCGACTTTTCCGGTGTAATTGTAATAAACACTAACTCCTTCAAATATGCGCTCCAGAATGCTAGAACCCTCTGGAGAATTATCAATTTTGTTGCAAACCTACAAGAAGTTGAATGGGTAAAAAAACTGTTTCCAAATAATGGAAGAAAAATCAAAGTCCAGAAGACCACATATAAATTACTAAGGGCAGATGAAGAAAAGCTTTAGGGCAGCATGACTCCATACATTTCTGTCCCTGGAGAAATTCAAATTTTTATGGAAAAGTAGGAGCAATACAAAGGCACTCTTGCAAGAGAACAGTCTATACCTAACTATTAAGACAAGAAGGGAAAACTATCTTGAAATCTTATAGCAAATAATGTAAAAAAGATGCTGGTCTGCAGAATATTTATTTCTGCTAGTAAAGAATAAAAAACATAGAAAGCAGATTATTTTCAATAAGCAGAAAAAGTTGAAAAGCATAGTGAACTATCAGATCACTTTTATGACTAAACCTACACAAAATGATTTAGCCAATGAGACTTGCCATATGTCAGTTTTATATCACATCAATTTGTATATTAAGGATTTATACATGTAGTTTTGTTAAGTCTAGTAATATTGTAAATTAATTAACAAATCCCAACTAACCTCTCTTATAGGGTATCCAGGCAAAGGCATCATAAATTCAGACGGATATGGGTAATCCACCATTGCCAGATAACTATATGCAGATTCCAACCAGTCAGCAAGATCTTCTGTCTTACTTAAATCCCTGTAAAATCAAATACCCAGTTGAATAACCAAACAAGCCAAGTCAAATAATATAGAGTAAACAAGGTAGTTCAACTCAATCACGCATTACTTAAACTGAAACATGCATACATTTTCTCATTGTTTATTTCTTACCTACATAGACGGAAAGTTTTGGCCAGTTCATGAAGTCCATTCTCTTTCTGACCTTCAGATATCAATTCACCCCAGGATTTTTTTATAGTGTTAAAGCAGCTGGTACTTTCACGCTATGGATATAAGACAGCAACAACATTATAAAACACAGCATAGATTTTCAAGATGTACAACTAGAAAGACTAGAGTAAAAGAAACTGCGATGACACACCTTGAAATCATTGGATACAAGGTCATTAAATGTTTCTGCCGGCACAATATCTTCAAATTGAAGAATCGGTGCTGAAGAAGCAAGTGCACCGATGGAGATGTGAGGATACTTCAGCCTCATCCAGGCCGCTAACACTATTCCATTGAAACAAAAAAGAAACATAAATATAACTCTAGTAACTAATAGGTGCCCTGGTCAATGCAACAACAACAAGGTCTAAGGCAAAAACACTATCAAACTCAAAACATTAATGGATGGCACATAAGATTTTTAGCGGCAAAAAACTAATAAAAGAAATGTTCTTACTAATAAACATATCTCATAACAACAAATATCTGGACCACAACTCCACACAAGTAAACAAAACATTTACTTTTCTAAACTAAAAAGAACGAAAATCAATCAATCAGTGTGCTATTTATTATGCTTCTATCGCAAAAAATTAATTACTTTGAGCTGTTAAAGTTTGAAGTAATTAACAAATAATGAAGACATGGGCAATGGTTGACTTACTTCCACCATAGGATCCACCGAATAACACAACAGGGCAAGCTTCAGCCGACAAATTCCGTTTCAAGTCAGTAATTAAAACGGCGAAATCAGCTAAAGCTTGTTCTGCCGTCAGGTACGATAACGTCGTAGCATTTCTATACGCCTCTTCTCTACTTCCATACGGCAGTGACTCGCCATAGTAACGGTGCTACCAATCACATAATGCAAGACATAAACGTAATTAAGTAACTCGATTTGATATTTACCAAATATATGTTATTGAATTTAAATTCAATCCCGGTGAATTAGTTATCCATAATTTTAACTAACCTCGGGAAAGACAAGCATGGCGCCAAACTTGGGCGCGATGTCCCACATGAAGCCGGAATTAACGGCGAACCATTCGATGTCTCCCTCATTGCCGCAGTAGAGGAAGATTGGGGCCAAGTGGAAGGGGCCCAACCAGTGCTCGGTGTTTATTAGGTATCGTTGCTGGAAGTTCGGGAGATCCGCGAAGCTGAAATGGTCGAGACGCTGCTCGTAATATTTGGTCTCGTACTGGTGCTGTTGTTGATGTTGTGGTTGGGGTTGGGGTTGAGGTTTCGTTTGCTTTGAGAATCTTCCAGAGAGCCTTGGGGTCCGCCTGAATTTGAAAGGCTGTGATGCAAGTGCAGATGGAAATGAAATGGAGATGATGATGACGATGATCGAGAGAATTATTCGTGAGGATTGTGCCATTGTTTTGTTTTGAACGTTGAGTTCATTGAGTTGGATAATGTGGAGTGTGGAGTTATGATTAGGCTGGAGTAGAGTAGGCGGTAGCCATGGGTGGAATTCAGCTGCGATCGGATGCAGATTGCAGATATATGTGATCTTAATCAATCAGAGCTTTCTAATTGATTTGATGATCGATTGATTGAGTCTAATTGGGAAGGTCTACAAGTTTTGGTATTCGCCGAAGCACTGGATTATAAAGTAGGTGTAAATTAATAATTGTCCTAAGTTTGACGCTTCTGACTCTTAACTGGTTGGGCTGGGTATACTTGAAGAGCAACTTAAATATGAGGAATGGTAGACAGCCCCACCTATTTACAAATGAACCGTTATTTTCAATTTTAATCAAGACAAAAATTAAATGAAAAATCTCTTAAGCACCAAAATCATTCTTTCAATCATTTTCCCATACGATGAGAGTTTCACAAATCTCAAAGGTTCCACTACAGAAAATAAAACTTAGAAAAATCTTCCCAAAATATCGTACGATTGAGCCATCCCAAAAAAAAAAAAAAAAAATGGAAACTACAAGTCAATGTCAAGGGCTTTGGCGCCAGAACGCTAGCCACCAAAAAGAAAGTGCCAATAACAACAACAAAAACAAGGAAAATGACGATGATCATCTTCCACGGGTAGTTTTGGATTAGAGAAGAGGGAAAATAAAGAGAAATACAGTCACGTGTGTTCGGGGTTTTTGGAAAGTTTTATCTTATTCGTAAGGGTGTTGTAGTCTTTCCGTAAATTTTATCCACTCAGTCTCAGCCAACAGAAGTTAGTAACGTTTGTTTGTTTAAGGAATTATTTTGCCATGGAAAAATCATATGTCCTGTATTGTCACAGGGATATAACCTAGACACTCCAGGGTCTTTATCTCTTAAGAAATCCATTATTCTCTTTAACTCTTCTATATCTTCACCAATTTTTTCATGTATTATAGGGATTATTTTAAAGTTTTTCCATGAGTATAGCAAAACTATCTTCTTCCCTCTCCTTTTCAACTAAAGGATCCAATAATGGTTAAATGCTTNTTGATCCACTCAGTCTCAGCCAACAGAAGTTAGTAACGTTTGTTTGTTTAAGGAATTATTTTGCCATGGAAAAATCATATGTCCTGTATTGTCACAGGGATATAACCTAGACACTCCAGGGTCTTTATCTCTTAAGAAATCCATTATTCTCTTTAACTCTTCTATATCTTCACCAATTTTTTAATGTATTATAGGGATTATTTTAAAGTTTTTCCATGAGTATAGCAAAACTATCTTCTTCCCTCTCCTTTTCAACTAAAGGATCCAATAATGGTTAAATGCTTGTATAAAAATAAGTTTCTAATTTGATTTACATCTGATAACTTTCTATATACTTTTCTTCCAACAAAAATATTTTGAAAATTGCAACTTTATCCCTCTCAACTCCGACATGGGAGGAGCTATTCAGAAAACTAATGGGGTGCTAATAGTATCAAACCTTAAATATCCATCGAGTTCCGGCCCATTATTAGTGAAGGTTGTAACTTAAAAGAAGGCCATAAGCCCGTAAAAAATTTCAGATTTGCCCACGCTTTACTTTGGGACAATAATTATTAGTTAACAACAACTTAAAAGAGGGCCATAAGCATATTTTTCTCGAATCTGATTTATATCCTCTTGTAGTTATAAATACAAATAAATATTCTGAATAGACTTATTCTTTCAAATTATTATCCACAAACTTTTTAATAGTTTATTCTTAAAGATACTGCGTGTAAAATTTTCTTTTCTTTATTTTAATGGTGTAAGTTCTTTATCCTTAGTGATCCTGTTTGTGTTCCCACTTCATCAAATTGTGATATACAGCGATATATAAAAAAAGAAATATATACGATTCAGGAATAAAGAGATGGAAAGTAAGTGTGAAAAGGGTGGATTGGATTAGAGATGTTGATAGTGAGGATAATTAAGTGGATGTTCATGTTGTGTTTGTGTGTCAAGAATTAGAAGCAAACTTAATAGGAATATTGGTATCACCCACAAACAATCTTCCAAGGAATATCAGCCTACCTAATTCCTATTATAAGCATATCTCTCTTATTGTTTGATTCCAGAATCGTTTCATTATAATTTGCGACCCATAACATTTCAACTGATTACACATTTATAGCATCTCATGCTTTAAACCCATCTAGAATATAATATATTCTTGATGTCTCACTCTCACCTCACCTATTATAATTATTTAGGTAATTAATTAGTCAATTATTATAATAATGGAAAAAGAATAAGGAGTGCAGTGGGCTGACTTTGAGTGCAAGAGAATTGATTGATATAGATAATGGACAATAATATAATAAGATATGATAATCATGGGCCGTATTTTAGATGAAGTATAAGATTAGCTGACTCATTTAGAAAAGATTGGGACCGGCATTTGTCTTCTTTCTGAACCCATTGCGTGCCGCCCAATACTTTTTTGAATTACTTGTTCAACGAAGAAGCTAGAAGCGTCAGGCGGCTCAGCCCTCAGCCTCAGCCTCAGCCTGAGTATAAAAAGAAAGTAATCAAACTCTTATCTTATGCACAAAAGTAGGTACTCGAGTATATGTTTGAACGAAACATAGCCCTTTCACCTCATTTTCAATCAAATCTCTCGGCATAGAACGGCTAAATTATCCAGAGTGCTCAGTTTCATTGTTGGAAAGGAGAAAATTTTGTTGGGATTCTCGCTCATGACTAGCAAATCCCATATCTAAATTTATAAAATTTATTAAGAATTTTAAAAGAACAAACTGTTGGAATATATGTTTTAATTGTTGGAAAGAGTGTGTAACGGGTTACGGGAGTAATCACAGTTGTCATTTCAGTGTTGTATTATTTGTCAAGTAAGTTTATTTTTAATTTAAAATTAATTAATACTTTTTATCGTGTTATGTTATATGATAAATACTGATTGAGTTGACCAATGGGTTTTTTTTTTTAATAATGGACATAATTACAACGTAAAAGATAACGGGATCCGTTGATTAGACAATGATAAGATGTGGTCACCGATTTCCCCTGATCTTCTGATGATAATTCATCAAAAGAATCAAGTAAAGCAACTTTTCATACAGTCCTGCTTTCCAGCCACCACAGAACAGAGCCCAGCTAGCTCCAGTTGTATGGCTCAGGCTGATGCCAAAATACAAATTAAAATAAATAAATAAATAATAATAATAATGTAATTGATTAATTGATGAAAACTACTAACCTACTGTGGTGTTTAATTATTCATTGGAAATTTCACATTCAAATTAATGGAATCATTCATTATTTCTTAAAACATAAATGCAAAGCACAATTTTCTAGTGTGTTAATGTGTGGTTAATTAATAAGTTAGTTGCCTAACTTCTTGTTTACGGTTAAGTAAAATCTAAACAATTAATGAAGCTGCCTAAATAATGACAATTAACACATATACTTAACCACCATTGAGTAGTCAAACGGTCTATAAAGACTCTTAGATGTATTATTCAAAAAAAATTTATTCGATTCACCTAAGTTACTAATATAAGTGGTCACTGCGAAGATTTATTCAGCCGTCAACTTCAGAATCCTGATGTATTAGTTAAATTGTACACAAACTGATCTAGACACTCTCGCTCATCAAAAATAAAAATAAAAACACATACACTCTACTAAATTGATTGCCATATGATCCCCTACTTTAATACTAAAGAAAATCGTTGAATGTGAAATTTGTGACAAAATTATTTTAATTAAAAATTGAAGTAATTATATAAATTAATAAAATTAAAACTTGTTAAAACGTGGGTGTATTTATTTCAATGGTTGCATAGATTATATAGGAGATATGGTTTAATGATGAGCGAGAATTTTGTGGAATGACTTGAAATGAGAGATTAATGTGTTAAATTAAAAAAGTCAACAGTGGTGAATACATATGAGTGGGAGGAAGACTTTTTTTTTTTTTTTTTTCCTTATGATAAATTGACCAAACCGCTCTTATAGGCATGATTTGCCGTCGAAAAGATGGAAATTTAGGTCAAAATGTCCACCATACCCCACTTAACTAACACACAATCATGCAAGATAACATGAATTTCCATAAAGCACGCACAGCTTCAACACATTTTCTTGGTTGTTTCACATCACCATATGCCTTGTATTTACAAGCATTTTCCTCCTCCACAAGCATCCTTTTTTTTAAATTAAAGCATTAAAATGCAATTCCCTGAGAAAATTAACCAGAAAGTATTTCGTAATCTAAAAAAAAAAATCAACTTATTTTAAAAAAAATTATTGAAAAAATATATGATAGAGGCGTGGTACATATATATATATGATTGAAGGGTTTTTAATTAATAAGGGGTGGGCCATTGGGACCCTAATGCCTTAACTTTGTGCCACAACAGAGCAGGCAATCTCTCAACTGTTTTTGCCTCTTAGGCAACCACCAAGTCAATTTTGGCTAACAAAATAGATACCCACCAAGCCACAAGTCTCATTTTGTGGGTCCAATCTTTACTTGGTGCTGTGTTGTGTTATTCTCTATCTGTTTTTTTTTTTTAATTCAATTTGATAATAAAAATCTGTAAACAGGTAAGTCACCATAGTGGGGGTGACATGGGTCTTGCATTTCACAACTTTTAAACGCAAGCAATGATGCGTATAAACTGTTTGTGAAAAAGCTCAACTTCACACCGCCAACAGGGTCTTAGAAAGGAAAGTTCAAGTGGGGCAAGCCATACAGCTTAGCTTTTATTATTGCTTTACTGAAAGTCGGTGCATTTCTTGATGCCCCTCGACAAAAAAATAAAATAAAATAAAAAATATCAATCAGACAAAGATAGATGACATATTACTCTACATATCTGACTAGACCCCTCTTCTTTTCTCTTAATAAATGATTCTATTTCTTGCAAATTCAAACCCCCAACAGGATTTTTAAAAGAGACTTCAAGGCTCAAGCGAACCACTTGTATGGTTTTCATATTATGTTTTTACCACTTTTTCTTTTTCCTTTTTCTTTATATTTGAAGGGTAATATTCTTTGTGCACTTTTTTATGAGAATCCACAGCCAGAGCAAGAGCATAACATAAATCTGTAAACACTGTTGATAGTTGAAGAAAGAAATACATGAAAATTATACTCTTTGTGTGTTGTCCAGTGAATGGTATTTTCACTTTTTAGTAGTAACCTTTTTATCAAACAATAAAGATTACGTACAAGAGGAGCGCGGTATGCCCACAGCCCACACGTGCTTGGTACGAGTTCTCATTTGGCTTTTCTACATTCACTTGTTTACTAGCACATAATTTTAAGATGCTTGTTCTAGAACTCTAAAATATTAAAAGCTTTAATGGGATAAGAATATGTTATTATATATAATAAAGATAACTCTCTCTCACCACCAATTTCAGGTTTTTATTGATAAAAAAATTTAAGGGTTGTCAACTAAATTTTGTAGAAGAATATTTGTTAGATTAGGTTGTAAATATAATATTATCTTATTATATATCATTATTTTTTTATTAAATATACATGACGATAATATTGTTGTCCGTTTATTTTGATGTGTGCTTTATTCCCGTAAAACAAGTCTTTGAATTGTAAATAACGTTCTTTATATTATATTTATGCTTTATTTTTATTCTCATTGACCTAACTCATAACAATTATTACAAAGTAATTATTATTTATGTTATATAAATTAATTAATTAATTAATTCATTTAATTGTTGTAGAATCCGGCTGGCTATATATCTTTTCCCAATAAAACACTCTTTAATACCCATTTAAACAAATTTGAACTTATCAGATTTTTTGCTTTATATTGCATATTTTTTTCTCACAAAATCAATAGTTGCTGAATAAAATAAAAAATATAATAAATAAATTTGGTATCAAAAGCATTATTAATTTGTGCATAAAGTATAGATCATTGATAATTGTTAATTATATCATAGAAATCTTTTTTTTTTTTTTTTTAATCTTTTAACACATAGATAACAACGATGCCGAATTGTTTAAATTGATCATAAATGCATAGGTCAAGATTCATTTAATCTTGGGTTCTAATTAATGGTTTTCTTTGCTTTGGACCATTAACTAGAACATCAATCTATTTTTACAGTTAGGTAAATCGAAGTTGGATCCAATTGCAGTAATATTACGTTCAATTATTGTATCATAAATGCAATTAAATTAAGTGTGCCCTTCATCCTACGATTTCTTAAAAAAGCCGTCTTAATTTATTATTTTTTAGTAATAGGAGTGTTCGAACTAACTTACTTAACTAATTCTCAAAGTTTATTGAACAAACTCAAAATATTATAATGTTATTATAATAAATGATTCTAAAATTTAAATCTAAAAACTAAAAGAATGAAGTAAATCTCAATCTTTTGAGATCATCTTAATCTATTACAAACTCCTTACCTTCAAAAACACCGTTGAAAGATGATAATAAAAATAATGATGCTAGAGAAGTCGGTAACCAATAGCCATAGGAGGTTTGTGATTGGAAGTGTTGCTTCCTTATCTGATTGATCTGGTAGAAAATGATTCTTGGTTTCCCTGATTAGAACGGTTGGTAATTAGAGAAACTGGAATAATAATAACATATTTAGTATTAATATATATTATTTAATTATTTATATACAGACACCAAGCAATTTGGTCGGCCAAGCTTAAAAGTCCTTTTGAGAAGAAAGACGACATGTCGACACCTTATCCCAAATTCGTTCTCGCCCTCTATCATTGCCAAATTCTACGCTCCATAATCATCAAACCCCCACGGAATCAAATGCGCATCATACCAAATCATTGCTGGCCCCATTCTGTCTATTACTCTCTTCTCTTGACACCTGTCCCTTTTTATTTATATTAGTTGATCGTCAATTAATGTGCATGTTTAATTTCAGTTGCTTTAATTAATTGCTATTTGTTTTGTTTTAAGTGTGAATTATTAAAGGAATTAGCTTTAGCTATAAGTGAAGTGCTTGGTGATGATAGGAATACCCACTAGTTTATTCCCTTTTATTATCACTTTATTGTACGGATTAGATATCGGAGGATTTGATAAATCCAATGCTTAAATTACTTTAATATGTAATTATTCCCAATCATCTCTTAGAAAGTGAAAGTTGGGGAGATACCACATCATATAAATATATAAAATTATAATTATAACAAAATATAAAAATGAAATTTTATTTAATATGCACTGTGTCAAAGTCAATGTCTATCTACTTTCTCCAACTATAATGGCTATGCTGGCTGCTGTTTGCTTTTGGTATTCAGCCACTCACTGACAAAAGATTTGGATAACCCCATTTTTCTCGTCTATTGGAGATACACCTTCTAGCTTCCCTATATAATAATAATAATAATAATAACAATCATGCTTTTTCCCCTATAATTTTGTTGTGCTCCAGTTGTTTTCTTTTCAAACTATGATATTTTTTTAGCATTTGCAGATGAACTGCGCCCAGGTGAAGAGAAATTGCAGAAGATCAAGAAATAATAAAATAATAAAAAGTAGGTGAATCACGTCGTATATATGCTCTGAGTTAGCTCAGATACATGATATATCAAGTCAGAATTGGCAAATATTGTTATGATTTTTGGTCAAGGTAGAATCTCGTAATATACCCACAATAAAAATTCCTTCCTCAAATAATTGGACCTCTTTCTCAATTGTGTTTACATTTCTATGCTCTGTCATTCAAGAAGGATTCACATTTATAAATATGCTTTAATTAATTCTTCCCCAGGAAGCACGCACGCATATATGAAGTCTCTTATTCTTTATTCACCATTTCCCCCATAATTTAAAAAGAAAAAAGAAAAAGCACTTCACTTGTGAGAGCAACCTGTGTGTTCTCTTTTATTTCCTTCCATTGATATCATTTTAAAAACGTTACAGATATTAAAAAATAACTCATCCTGATGATGATCAAGATCAAGATTAAGCTAGTCGTCATTGGCGTTCCCTCGCTGCCTTATGCGTCATGGCGCACACCTGCTGATTACTCAATACAAATTCGAAATTCCTTTTTTTTTTCTTTTTCTTTTTCTAATTAAATATCTATTTGATCATCCAGTTTCTGTCATATGCCGTGAAAACAGGTGCACCACACTTTCCTGATAGATGACTGGATCAAAGGACCATCCATGGTATATAAATGATTTTCATGATATAAAATTTGAATATAATTTGGTTTCAATGATATCATTACAAATTAAGATGTTACTAATTCATATAAATAACATGTTTTTGAGGAGAGAAAGTGGTATATAAATAAATAGAGCTAGGTTTATCATGTTTTATGGGTGACCTAACTTCTCATGAAACATAGCCGACAAGGCATTATTGAAAGTGCTTATACAATGTATAGAGAGAGAGGAGTAGGACCCAAGAACTCCAAATCAACTTTCTAGTTAAGCAAAGATCCGGATTCTTGTTGATGAATCATATTCTGGCACCATTATAACTCTTTGAAACTCCAATGGTGTCTTCTACCTACTTTCCTTTTTATTATTTTCACAAGAAACAAACAAACAAACCACGATCATCATCATACAATTCTTGATAGTGCACATCTCTATCCATCTCATCTAATCTCCAATACTCATAATAAGCAAGAAAAAAAACTACCCACCTTCTTCATTAATCAAAAGAATTTCAATTTAGTAAACAAGGTGACATGATACCCATCTCTACCCACTTAAAACCAGGCATGGAGTTGGAGACAGTTCATGTGGTCTGTCATCAAGGGAACTTGTTCAATATCCAATCAATCATGCCTTGTATTTGATCAAAAACAAACATTTTCTTTTCTTTTTAGTTAATTATCAGAGTAAGTAAGTGAGTAATCTTTGAATGAATGCATAGAACATGGGCTAGGTAGCTATTTATTAGTGTTTCGTAAAGAGTGAGCAAAGAAAAGAAATTAAAAATGAGAAATAACAAGATCACTGGGACAGGATTTAAACAAAGAAAAAGTTAGACAATAATTGATAGTTCAAGAGAGATGAAAAAAGTAAACAAGATATATATGCAGAGAAAGAAGAGCATATATCGGAAAAAAGTAAGTGGTAACAGTTAATTTTGGTACGTTAAGGGGTGGCCAAGAGCTGACGAATCATGCTCTTGATGTGTTTCCCACTCCCATGTGAATTGTAGTATTCTTAGTATGAAAGAGATAGAGAGAGAGAGAGAGAGAGAGAGAGAGAGAGAGAAAGTGTTTTTATTTATTTTTTTTAATATCGAATTTTCTTTTCTTTGTTTTTCTTGTTTTCTTTGCTGTTATAATGGAAGATAACAGTAGTGGGGTTCAAATGGTCAACCTTTGTATAGAGAGAAAAAGGGTCTTTCATAATTTCTTACACCCAGATTCGTTTCTTTACTCATTTCATTCCCTCTGATTTAGCCACCCACCCACCCAACTCCAACTCTTCCCCTACATACCAAAAAGTCTTACTCATTCTCTCCCCTTCTTAATAAGACCTCTTTTCCTTCTTCATTTTTATCATTCTCATTCTCATTCTCAAACTTTCTCTCTCATTTCTCTCACTAACAGCAATCACTAAATGGGTTTAGATGATGGATGTAGCACTGGCCTTGTGCTGGGTTTAGGTTTCACGGCAACACCTATTAATCAGAACCCTTCAAAACCCATATCTAAGAGGCCACCACCACCCTTTGATCCATCTCTTACTTTGAGTCTTTCTGGCGACTTTTATCACGGAGTTGCTACCAAAAAGGGTAGTATTATTGATGTCAACAAAGGTTTTGAAGAGGCTGCTGTTCATGACGTCTTTCGTCAAGCTTCTCCTCCTCACAGTGTTGTTTCTTCATTTTCTAGTGGTAGAATCAAACGGGAGAGAGATCTCAGCTGTGAAGAGTTCGAGGTCGAGAGGGTTTCTTCAAGAGTTAGTGATGAAGATGAAGATGCCGTTAATGCTAGGAAGAAACTTAGACTCACCAAAGACCAGTCTGCTCTTTTGGAAGAAAGCTTCAAACAACATAGCACTCTCAATCCTGTAATAACCTCTGCCTTTCCTTTTTCTCTCTCTTACTAATGGTTATTTTCTTGATTAATATCGTTCTGACCGTTAAAATCTAATCTTTTTCATTGTGATTCATCAACAACAGAAGCAAAAACAAGCTTTAGCAAGGCAGTTGAACCTTCGACCAAGACAAGTGGAAGTATGGTTCCAGAACAGGAGAGCAAGGTAAATCAATCATTTATATTACAAACCCAGTAGATATCCAAAAGGCCCACATAATAATTTCTGTCCCCCACCCAAAAAAACCGAAAATAAAAATAACCATAGTAGAAATTTTCAATCACAAAGGAGTTGTACTTACAGGAGACGTAAGATTATGTTAAATTTTGAACCTCTTATCTGTATGGTTTTATAAATCATTGAGTTTTTTTATCATTATTATTTACAGAACGAAGCTGAAGCAAACGGAGGTCGACTGTGAGTTCTTGAAGAAGTGCTGTGAATCACTGACTGATGAAAATAGGAGGCTGCAGAAAGAGCTTTCAGATCTCAAAGCTCTAAAACTAGCGCAACCTTTTTACATGCAATTGCCGGCGGCGACACTTACCATGTGCCCTTCTTGTGAAAGGATTGGCGGCGTTGGTGATGGAGCATCTAATAAACCTCCATATTCAATGGCTGCAAAACCTTCTCACTGCTATAATCCCTTCGCCAATTCAGCAGCTACTTGTTAAGTTGTCAAATAGGATTAATTAGGATAATCAAACAGGAATTGATACATAGAACCCAGAACCCCTTCTATTTTTTTGTTTTAAGGGTTGTAGTGAAAAAAGGAGTTAGTGTAATTAATTAATTAATTGGTAGAAGATAGTTATCATCATCGCTGATCATCAATCTCAATGTTATGATCATATCTATTTACAAGAAGTTTGTAAATTTTTAAAACAATTATATATTATCGGAATTTGCATGTTTTATTGTTTATTTTATTGTTTGACCCCTCTAATTGTTGTTGGGTTTAATTATTTTGATGATCAAATGGGTCTTGTCCTTTGATCCCAATCTCGGGACAACCTCAGAGCTGAGTTAGGTTTGAAGACATTTGGCGAATATTTAGCCTCATATTTGCGTTTTAATGATGAGATAATATATGTTTAGTCATATATTGACTTTGAAATGAAAATAAAGTTAAAATCTAATAGTTTGTTGATTAAAGTATTATGAACTGGTAAATACGGCATTGGATCAGTGGCCCCATTTAATGTTAAAATGAACACTTTTATGAATCAGCAATGGAGGTAGATGACTTTGAGATTAAGGAAAGATTTAGTTTAATATTAAGATATTGAAATTCAATTATTCACGATTTAGAGTGTGTGGTTTGCCGTCATTGATTTAAGGGAGAAAAAGGGTGTGAAAGAGGAGGAGGTTACCTCACGTGTATTTCATCTTAATTCAGTTGTTAATAAAAAAGAAAGAAAGAGTCAAGAGATGGGTGGTGCGTGGTGAGTGGTGAGGACTAAGGACTTGAGAGGCGTGTAGACAAAGAAAGGAATGGATGATTAAAACTCGGAAAAGAAAAGAAGAAATTAATAAGAGGCTTTAGGTCTCGTGACTTGCTCTCTCTTTTAGGGTACTTGTGGGGTCAATTCCCACGTGATTTCCTCGTGGTCGTGGCCTTCCAAATCTCTTCATCCAAAAAAGCTTTAGAACGTATCTTAGGTTGATCACCATAATCAACGGTCTACATTCATGGGCTTTAAATTTATCTGTTTAAATTCATAAACAAAGCCATCATGATTGGTGTAGAAAGCTCTCCTTATAGTTAGTCCAACACATCATGATTTGATGCCCTCAAATTATGGTGTGGACCAATAAATCATCAGATGACTTTCCTGCAAAAATGCCGAACTTTCCTGGAAACTACTCTACCTTATATTCTCATCATCGCTTCCATCATCAAAATTTTTTAAATTACTGAAAGCTAAATGTAGTTTTGCTTTTTTCCTTTGGTTACTTACCAAATTCAAAATTGGGTTGTTCCTTGTATTGGGAGACAAATCAATATCATATTAATATTTTCTACATACGGGTATTGTAATATTCAAATGGGCCTAAAAAGTTATCGGCAATAAAATAAAGTTGTTCAGAAATGTTATTTTCAATCTTAATCCCTTGTCTTTTGATGATTATAGATTTGCTTTATGTGTGCACGTCCAGATAATCATAATAAAATAACAAAAGACATGTGTCTTATGTTGGCTAAATTGTCGGCCTGTCCCGTCTAGTTTAGATTGATATGGTATTATGAATCGGATTTTGAATTATTTATTTGTATTCTTCTCATCATTTGAGATTGAAAGCAACCATAACTTATTATTTATGTTCTTGTCAAATTATACGATTATCAAAACCCCTCATTCAACTACTACGTGTTACATGTATAAATTGGCATCAATTTTGTTTTCACCAACTTTTATTTTCATTTTTAGCCAGTTGGGTTTTGTTAGGTCTTGCAATTATTTAATTAATTAACCAGATTTGGGCTCTTGGAAGCCGTCCTACAGTGGACGATATTTGCTCAATAATTAAGGTTTAAGTGACTTGAAACTTAGTCAAATTCTATTTATATAAAAACTAAAATAAATTATTTGAGTAGAAAACGTCAAAAGCAATCACTGGACTTTCAACAAATAATGTCCTACTTAAATAACTCCTGATTGAGTAATTAAAGCAAAAGATATGCACATCATGTGTTTTGTAGCCCTTCTTCGGGACAGTTCAATTGTTCATGAAAGCCTTCATCTAACCATATCATATATCGCCATAAATTTGTCGGCAAATATATCATCAAAATTATTCTAACGCTAACAGTAAAAAAATTATTATTATTTTAATTTTCCAATTAAATTTTAGGTTCAAATCAGAAGTTGATATTATTGAAATTTTGACTTCATTGGAACTAGTCTAGTCTACTGCTATTAGGATTTGATACAAAGCCTAATACTATAGTCCCTCCATGATATCTCCAATGATGGAATCGGTTACCGACTTTCGTTGCTTAAAAGTGTAGTTTAAAATTTAAATTAAACTATTTTCGCAAGCCACTTAATTAAATATGTAATTTCTTCATTCGTTGCTTGATTACCGGGCTATCACTCATCATTTTACCTAAATTCATGGCTTAATTTTTTCTTCAAAGTTATTTTAATAAACAATAATCATTATTTAATTTTAATTTCTTATAAAAATTTCATATTGGAGGTAGAAGAAATGATAAAAGAGAGAGAGAATCAAATCAATCATGGAGATGTGGACCGGATGAAAATAAGTAAAAGGTTGATGGGCCCCAATTTGTCACATGGCGGCCCATATTGTGTGGGGAGTGTTTCACATTAATTTGTAAGTAATCCAAGTGAAGACAAAAAAGATGAAAGAATTACCTATCTTTGATTCCAACCGACACTATAAATAAGATAAATATTTAAAAGAATTATTATTAGCCCCCACCAAATTATCCATAAACTAGAAACTACTGCAACCGGACAATGATGAAGGCAGTTTAGACAACAACCCTTTATGGTTAAGCATAGACAGTTACCTATCACGTTACACGAGTACTCTTCTCTTTCATACACTTTGTCAATCTCATTTATTTTTATCTAAACTAATTTTTATTAATTTTGTAATTCACGTAATAATAATTTTTATTATTTATTTATTTTTAATTTAAAGTCTAATTTTCTCAATTTCTAATATTAGGTAACTTTTCTTTCGGTATGATGACACTGTGATGAACAAAAAGGATGAAATATATTCTTTTCTTTTTTAAAATTAAAAAAACTAGAGCCTTCAAACTTTTAATTTTTAAAATTAAAATTGATTTTCTTTATTTTTATTATTATTAGTTTGATAGTTGAATTTTAATTTATTTTATTTATATTTTGCTATTATATAATTACAAATATTTTATGTGTTAAATGTGGAAGCCTGAAACAGCATCGTTTTGGGTAAAAAGAATACGACGTCATTTTAGGCATAATAACCGAGACAAATTTAGACCGCAGGATGCACTCCAAAACTAACGGCCAGGATCAACCACTCAGTCAAACCATATATAAACTCACTTTCGTTCAAAATATAGAGAGACACACATTTTTTAGGGTTTTCTGGGTTTGCACTTCTCTGAGTTAGGATTGAGATTATTATTCTAGATTGTGGTGTAATCAGTCGAGTGGTTAGGGAGATTAATCATTTAGGTGAGAGTGTTGTTCTCTCGGGTTAGGGATATTCAGAGAGTATCTTGTAAGGTTGATTGTGGTTTGTATTTGGGTAGATCTGGTGAGTGTTGAATCTATGTAATCTTGATTGTTCTTGATAATAGAAAGTGCAGCGAGCTCATACAGTTCTTGAGCTCAACGTGGATGTAGCTTATCCATAAAAGGATAAGTGAGCCATGGTAAATCGTGGCTTGTTTATGTGTCTGTTTTGTTCTTGATTCTTGGTGTTTTGTTCTTGATTCTTGGTGTGATTGATTTGTGTTGGTGTATAGATCAGTATTAAGTTTGTGTCCTAACAGTGATATCAGAGCCATTTCTTGAAGTTGAAGTTTTTTTTACAAAATTAGGGTTTTGCGAATTTGGGATTTTTGCAAAATTAGGGTTTCGTAAAATTAGGGTTTTGAGAAATTGGGGGTTTTTCGAATTAATTCCTTTGAGTCTCCAAATTGAGTCTAGTGAGTCAAATCTTGATCGAGTGTAAGGGTATATCGGCTGGAAAACTAGTAACCGCCTTAAAAACTGCTTAGTAGTAATTGACAACCTCTGGTGTAACAACGCCACGTACACCTTAGACTCACCTTCTTTGATGTTGTTTCTATAGAAGAAGTTTTTTTCACGAAATTAGGGTTTTGCGAAATTGGGTTTTTTTTTTTTCTTTTTTGAAAAATTAGGGTTTCGGGAAATTGGGGTTTTTCGAATTAGTGATTTCTTTGAGTCTAGAATTGGTTCTAGGGAGTCAAATCTTGATAAAGTGTAAGGGCATCTCAGCTGGAAAACCAGTAAACGCCCTAAAAACTGCTTGGTAGTACTTGGGAACCTCTGGTGTAATAACGTCACATACACCTTAGACTTTCCTTCCCTGCCATTACAAGAAAGATGAGCACTACCCATATGGAGATCTCCCAATACGATGAGAAAATCGATTTCGGGAGCTGGAAGAAGAAGATGAAGGCTCTTCTCTCACACAACAAGGTTGCAATCGCACTGGAAAAGGATCCCAAGAAATGGTTAGAGGAGAAACTGGAGAAGAAGGAAGAGGTTGATGAAGAAGCTTATAATCTGATCATGATGAATCTTTCAGACAGTGTCCTTCCGAAGGTAGATGGATTCGAAACTCCTCTTGGTTTATGGGTAAATTAGAATCTTTATATGCCTTACAGTCTGCACCGAATTTGGTTTTCTTAAAGGGAGCCTTATTCTCCTATAAGATGGATAATTCGAAGTCTATTGAGGAAAATTTAGATGAATCTAATTTTCAAAGGCACATACCAAGAACTAGGGCAGACAAGTCTTGCCATGATATTATTAAATTCTTTAACTGAAGACTACCAAGTAGTCAAGAATGCCCTTCAGTACTCCGGTACTGTACCCAGTGTTGATTTGATAGTTGCTGGTCTTAAGGCTAGAGAATTAGAGCTTAAAACTCTTAAGAGGAACAATAGCACTCTGTTTGTGAAGGGTAGATTAGAACCTGGTCAGTCTAGTAAAGGATTTCAGCCAAATCAGGGGGGTAAGAACAAGAAGAAATGGAAGGGAAACAACAAAGCCAAAACAGAAAGCAGGAAATGTTACTACTGTAATAAGACAGGCCATCTAAAGAAAAACTGTTTTGACTGGAAGAAGAAACAAAAACTAGGTAACATAGAGAGAAACTTAGCCACCACTAGTAACCAAATAGATAAACCAGAAGTCCTAACAGTGTCAATATC